TAGTTCTCGGCGGATACAACATCTTTGTTGGTATGTGGTGCTGAGGATCGAACCCGGGCCGCACGCATGCCAGGCAAGCGCGCTACCGCTTGAGCCACATCTCCAGCCCTAAAGGGTGACTTTTTATGCTATGTAAATCATATCTAAATTTAAAATCATATCTCAATTATCCTTTCCTCCCTCACTTCTACCTTTATGCCAAACAGAGTAAAGAAACTAAGTGAAGCCAAAGACAAAGGCAGCTACTTGAACATGCACAGGCTAGTCTCTCAGGAATCATAAAACACCAGACCAAAGTTCAACATCAAGTTTGCAACCAAAGCCCCAACTAGAAATTAAGTTTCCCTTTGCCTGGCCTGGTCTTGATGCACACATTTCTTTCAAAAACTTCAGGGAGAAGAGAATTAGCAGATTCAGAAGGCTGATGTGTCCTGGCCCTTTTTCCCTTCTCAGTGCCCCCATCCCTAATTAGAGCTACCATTTATTTAGAGCTTATTATAAATCAAGCAATTCACACACTCTACTTCTAAGGCTCATATGTATTATTTCCATTTAACAAACACCTCTAAAATTTAGAGAGGGAAAAAACTTGTGGCTGCCTCCCAAGTAGTTTCTTAAACTCCAGAATTTCCAACTTAATTAATTATAATATATTGTTAATATATATTTAAATTAATATTATGTGTTATATATCAACATATAATTCATATAACTATATTAGCTTCAACATATTGATTAAATAACTAATTAATGGGAAAGATCATTCTTTGCAGAAGAAATAATTATCAATAAAAATGGGGACACTGAGGTTTCTGAAGAAGTAACTTGGGGGTGCTGGGGATGTGGCTCAAGCGGTAGCGCGCCCCCCTGGCATGGGTGCGGCCCGGGTTCAATCCTCAGCACCACAAACAAAGATGCTGTGTCTGCCGAAAACTAAAATGTAAATAAAATATTTTTAAAAAAATTAACTTGGGGAAGACACTGACAACTGTCCACCCAATATGCATTTTCTTTCTTCCTTATTAACAGAACCCTGACTTTGTTCAGAAACAAAGTGCCCATCTGAAAAAACTTAATTTCATAGGCTTCCCTACAGCTAGGGGTAATATGTGAAAGAAGTCTGATTGAGGAAATATAAGAAGTCTAGCAAGAAAGTCTCAGAAGGAAGGGGAAAAGGGTGTCAGAATAAGAAGGCATTAGCCCTTTATACTCTGCCCTTCAACCTAGTGAGAGCCACATGTCACGTCAATACTGACAGAGCAAGAAAACAATAAAACCATGGACTGCCCAGGCTAGACTTCTTGTTACTCAAGAAAAATGAAGCTTTTATCCAAGCCACTTGAAGTTTGGTTGCTTAATGGAAGCACTAATAAAATATTCTAAAAGAAGACCTGGTCTGCTAAAGAAATATGGATAACTTTTTGTGTGTGTGGTATTGGGGATGGAACCCAGGGCCTCAGGCATGCTAGGCAAGCACTCTACTACTGAGCTATTCCCTCAGCCCCTAAGCCCCACCTATATAATCAGAATGCAGCTTCAGAACCACAATATTACCAAACAATACAGCATCACAATAGTGGATTTGTTTCAAGAGACTAAAGAAACAGTAACAAAAGGTTTGCATGGAAGCAAGGCAAAAAATACTACCACAAACAAGCTTGTTTGTCTAGCACTGTCCAGGTCAGGTTTTTCTGACCAAATCACCACAGATCTTAATGTAGTTACTGCCAATGGTATAGTAGTCTATAAGCACCAATTTTTCACTATAATTATTCATTACATTGTTTACTTTTTCCTCTAGATTGTAAGCTCTGTACAAGCAGGAACCATATCTATCCCATTCACTACTCAGAATGCAGTCCTAAACACAGGAACAGATAAAATACAGGGGATGGGAAAGGGGTGAGAATCTCACAAAGCTATCTCAAGTTATGTGGAATCCACGAAGGACAAGCCACATTAGGAACCAGCCAAAGCAAACTACTAGTTTGTCTCTTTTGGTATATATAGCACACCTGACTCACTCTACCCCCAAAGCTATTCACTCTACCTTGTCTTTGTCCATGACAACACTGGCCACAGGTCCAAATGCCTGGAAGTACTCAGAGAGCTGGGCAGAATTCACATCCCTGGGAAAGCCACTAACAAACACACTTCGAAGTCCCTGGGCCTTTCTGGCAGCTCGAAGTTCTACCAGATGCCGGTGCTTCCGGCCTCCCAAGTGGGCATCTAGGCTGGGTCCTGCAGAAACAAGTGTGAGACAAAAACATCCAAATTATTCTTCAGTGTATCTATCTTCTGGCTCTGCTCTGTGCATATTTAAATCCTACTGATACTTTGAAGTCACAGAAAGTGTGATCTTTAAATAAACAGTGTGACCTTTAAATAAACAAAGTCCTGGCTCCCTTCATATTTGACATTCTTATCTATTTGTCTATATGGTACATTGTCTTAAGTGGTTTCCAGGAGAACTGCGACACTACAAGTAGTTCTTAACTAAATCCATTATGTACATCATTCTGTATTTCAGACACCTATAAAATCATTCAATTTAGGGGCTGGGGTTGTAGCGCAGAGGTAAAGTGCTTGCCTAGCACATGTGAACCCAGCACCACATGTTCAATCCTCAGCACCACATAAAAATAAATAAATAAAATAAAGGTATTGTGCCCAACTACAACTAAAAACTAAATATTTTTTTTTAAATTATTCACGTTCAGGCTTTTTTTCATTTATGTTTTTTGGTGCTAAGGATTACACCCAGGGTGCTCTACCACTGAACTACATCACCAGGCTTTTTTAATTTTTTGTTTTGAGACAGGGTCTCACCAAGTTGCTCGCCTTGAATTTGCAATCATCCTTCCTCAGCCTCCCAAGTCACTGGGATTACAGTTGTGTGCCACTACACTGATTCAATTTAAAATTTTATGGGTGACCTATATATAGACTGATGGAGCATAGTTAAACCATTAATAAATAAATTTCATATGTATATGTGTGTGTGTGTGTGTGTGTCTCTCTCTCTCTCTCTCTCTATATATATATATATAAATAAAATGCTAGGTAGAATAACACCTGAAATTTATAAAGAAATTTAACAGGCAACTTATCCAAGTCATATAGAGAAGAACTGAATAAATATAAGCTCCTGGATGATCAGCATGAATCAAATGTGGATATGTGAATAGTGAATACAAGTACAGAATATGAAACTGCACTGACCAAGTTCAAATCCCAGCCCTGTGAAGCTGTGTGAGTCTTGGCCAAGTTGCTTAACCTCTTTGTGCATCAGTTTCCCTGAGAATAAAATGAAGTTAAAAAAGTACCTACCACAAAGCTATTATTCATATATAGTACCTGGCAGAGTCTGATACATGGCCAAAAGTGGAAAAATTAGCTGCCAGTATTATTTTTATTACCAGTCAGCTGCTTGATGTCACCAAAGTATCTGTGGGGTCAAGAAAGACTCCTAGGGTAGAGGGGAGGATGGGGGGTAAGAAAGATGGTGGAATGAGATGGTCATCATTACCCTAGGTACATGTATAATTGCAGGAATGGTGTGACCCTACTTTGGGTACAACCAGAGAAGTGAAAATTCTGCTTCATTTGTGTAGAATGAATCAAAAAGCATTTTGCTGTCATGTATAACTGATTCAAATAAATAAATAAATAAGAAAGACTGACTCCTGGGTTTCTGGTTTGTCCTACTAAAGACATATGGTGGAGTACCATTCGCAGAGAAAAAAAGAACAGAACACTCCGTTCAGGAAGATCCCAATTCTAGATTTCATTGAGCCTTTTTTGCACTGTTGTACAAAGACCTCTGCCTTTTCCTCCTGATACCTTCTGCACCATTTATGCCATACAGTTTCACCTGTCCTCATCTCTGGTCCTCTGTAAGTATTCCCCAACTTGATTACTGCATTCTCTGTAATGTCACAGCTCTCCAAACACATCCACAGAGCACTGAAATGTTTCAATGTAGATGATGAGCTCCTGTATCTCTGAACACCGCCCCCGCCCCCCGGAAAAAAAAAAAAAAAAGCCAGCAAAAGACCAGGCAAAGAGCAGATGTCCGGTAGATGATGGTTAAAGAGCAAATAAAACTTTCATCGTGGAGATTTCCTATATTGGAAAGGAAAGGCGTAAGGTGGTGGGACTTTTCCCACTCTCCAATCTTCTCGTTCGTATCAGATTGAAAGAGGAGGTGAATGACCCTACCAACCGACTTAACGGGAACTGTGATCAATTACCTAACTTTCGCTAGAACCCAAAGGTGAAACCCACAACCACCCCCTCACTAGCCACCGCTTACGGTTGGCTGTAGTAACGTGGCAGAGGCGGCAGCGGAAACCCCCACGCGACAGCGATTCGACATCCGAATCCACCGCCGCCATGACGACTCTCCCGTACGGACAAAATGCAACCACTTCGGCCACCGCCGAAATTCTTCCAAACCGCGTCGCACTCAGAAGCAACTTCCGCCAGTCTTACAGGAAGTGGCGTAAAGCTGCCATCCGTGCAAGCACACTCCTCCGGAAACCTATCACCTTCGATTCAGGGTTCCGTTTCTAGCCTGTTTTAGCGCCCATCTACGACGCCTATTGGGGTGCTCTGACCAGGTCCGGCGTTGATTGGTCCAAAGAATCGTGAATATTTATAAGGCATTCACGAAGACTGCTGTCGGGTTGGCGTCGCCTGGCCCGCTGTTTGACAGCTGGTCAGTTTTCTTGCCAAGTTGCGGTGCGCTCCTTCTCTTCTCGGAACTGTAGGGACCCTAGCGCGGCTGCACCCTTAACCCCAAATTTAGCCAGTAAGTGAAGACGGAAGATGGGCAGCTTTCAATCATTTATCCTAAGGAGCCCAGGGAGTCCAACATCCTCAGGGGCAGCTCCTCCCTCTTTTGTCCGGTTCTGCCAAACAATTGTTTAAGGCACGCTTGGTAGCCCTCACTGGGGAGCTCTGCTCCCACCCGGTACCTTTTGGATTTCATGAGGCCACAACCACATCATTACAATCCTGAGCCAGGCTCTTTATTTCCAAGGTAGTGGACTGCGTGGTGTACGAAATCTCCAGGGTCTCGGGCCCACTTCAAAGTAATGCGTTGGAAACCATTATGGTGGTAGTTGAAATAACGATATTGGAGGGGCAAAGTGCTACTATGTCCAGACTGGTAATAGTGGTCACTTCCTCCAGATAACCACCCAGATGTAGGATAAAAGGCAAAGTAAGGGAGCTGGGAAGGCCCCTAGGGACAGGGACCCTAATAAGATGGAAGGATTATCAAGTAAGCTAAGCACCTCATGCTGTAGTAATCAGCTGATGGCTTCGAATAGTGCAAAGAGCAGTGGACCTGAGACAGATAAACAAGGTCTGTAACTGAGCAAGTCACTTGGAGGGGGTTGGGAGCGGTGCCAGAGACTGAACTCAGGGGCACTAAACCAGTGAGCCACATGGCCATTCCTATTCTATTTTTTGCGGTGCTGGGGGTTGGAACCCAGGGTCTTGTGCATGCCAGGCAAGCACTCTACCAGCTGGGCTATATTCCCAGCTCCCTGGCAGCTCGCTTTTTGCTGAAGCTGGCTTTAAACTCCCAATCCTCCTGTCTTAGTCTTCCAAGCCACCGGGATTACAGGTGTGCACCCCCACACTCAGCCTGAGCAAATTGTCCCTAAAGATGTGCCTAAACAGGAGCTGGAGTTGTGGCTCAGCAGTAGAGTGCTGGCCTTGCATATGCAAGGCCCTGGGTTCGAGCCTTAGCACCACATAAAAATAAATAAATAAAATAAAGGTATTGTGTTCACCTACAACTACAAAAAACAAATTT